GAGTTGCCGCCATGTGATTGGCTGATTAGAAATTAAGTGTTAACGAGCAGTTGGACAGGTGTACCTAATAAAGTGGCCGGTGAGTGTATGTTTTATTTGTTAGGCTGGTTTCTTTTTTAAAAGACAATTTTATTCAAAAAGATTATATTCAGATGGTTTCAGCTCATATAATCATTTAAAATGATTAATTTTTCATATTTTATCATTTATTGAATTACATTTATCCCAGAGCAGTTGTGTCACAGTTTGATTCTAAAAATAAACAAGTTTAGCACATCAAGAACATTGCTGTTATCATAAATTGTGAAGAATGAAATTTGTGGATCTTTCTGATAAATTACAATAACATTTAAAACTCATTCATCTAGAGAACATGGCATGTTTTTATTTTTTATTTTTGGATGGGGGGGGTGGACGTTAAACAGAGACTCATCTTTGCTTTGATATGGGGCAAATAAATGTTCTGTTAGAGGTAATATGGTTAGACAAACTTGAACAGTGAATCTCACAGAAAGACTCACAGCCTGCGTCTCTCAGGAGGAAAGAGTTTAGTCACTGACGCAAAGTTGGACAGATCTGTTCGATAACAACCCTCTGAACATATATTTAATTTAAAGTTAGGTTTTAGAGACCAAAGTCTCTGGTAATTCAGGAGCAAAGTGCAGGAGGAGATGTCTGATCGATGCAGCCGCTGCTTCCACAGTCTCTGCTGAAAACTGCTCTCACTGAAAGTCCCGCCCTGCTCTGCTCTGATTGGATAAAATGGCTCTGGAGTTCGTCTGATTCGTTGAAAGCAGTGTCCGCTTAATCCTTACATCAGGGCCCCGCTGACCTCCTCTCACAGAACAATGATCCAGTCACACCAGTGAGGCTGGATTTTTTTGTTTTGTTTTGTTTTGTTTTGTTTGTTTTTAAGAAATCAGGTCGCATTGCGACCCTGCAAGCTGTTGTTTTCACAATCTCAGGTACAATCTTACGCAAGGGAGCTTTATGACGTTCCATCTTGTGTGCTATTTCTTTTTTGATCGCACATGCGCACCTGCGCACCATTTATGTGCATATCCATGTTAAAAAAATTAACCACCAAATAATGACCAATCATTAGCATAGATGCTAAAACGCCAAGGAAAAGCTAATTCTATTAGCTAGTTTTTTCACACTCACAGCAGGGACCCAAACTTTATACATAAATGCAACACTTAAAAGTTATTACAAAAAGACAGTCAAGATCCAATAACTTTAAGTATTATTCACAAATAATGTGCGCATGGCAGCCTCGCTTCTGTCAGTGTGCCCCAGGGCAGCTGTGGCTACAGTGTAGTTTGCCATCATCAGTGTGTGAATGTGAGTGTGAATGGGTGAATGTCTGTTAGTGTAAAGCGCTTTGGGGGTCCGGAGGGACTTGAAAAGCGCTCTATAAGTTCAGTACCATTTACCATTTACCATTTACAAATGTATATTTTTCAGGGTTTGCTGTGATATGTTTTTACTACAAGAAGCTACGGTAACTCTGTATAAAGGGATCCATGATTAGTTTTAACATTAGACTTTATTTAATAAACATGTATTTTAACTGTAAAATAAAGGCTGTAAGAATACTGAAACTAAACTAAAAGTTTAAAAATATATTACACGGACGGGGCCATTTTATTTACATGCAAAGCATTCTGGGTAAATGATGACGTGGATAGGTCCTCGGTGCGAGGCTGCTAGCGAGCTATATCCACCCTGAAGTTTAATCTTGGACAATATATGATGATCGACTCTTTTAGATGAAACCAGAGAGCGTTGACAGAGAGGAGAAGGTAGAAATAACTCAGCCTGTAACTGAAAATATAGATGGAGGACAACAGAGCTGCTTCATGGAAGAAGAACCTCAACTTAGCCTGTTAGCTTTAGCATTAGCCCCGAACCCATCACCATATATGGCTGTGTCTCAATTCAGGGGCTGGGTCCTCATGAGTGCGCATTTGTCGGTTGCATATGTCACTGCCCTACGCGGAGGACTGTCCCAATTCGAAGGCTCCTCATCATGCGGCCGAGGAATGCGGCCGACAAACTTTCGAAATCTGAGGATGCATCTGTGTATTCTCACTGGCCGAGGATATCCCGGATTCAATGCGCAGGAAGCAAAATAAACAGAGAAACAAAGACGGTGGAGTTTTTATTTTTTTAACGAGTAGACGCAGTTTGGAAACTCACCACAGACCGAATAATTAGATTTTAAAAGTTTGTTTAGCAACTTAGCTGATGAAATTTACACTGCAATAAGATGTTAAATAAAAGAAAATGCAACTACAAGTTACGAGAATAGCCATAACATTACGAGATTAAAGTCATAACATTATGAGAATAAAATCGTAATATTATAAGATTAAAGTAATAATGTTATGAGAAAAAAAATCATAATATTCTTGCCTTTACATGAAAAAGCATGCAATCACTGCATTAAAATGAGGAATGTTGAGCAACTTGTCAAGTTGTTTTTAGTATTGCTTAAAATAAATAGTTAATCTTTTAGCACATTACCGGTAGTATCAAATTATCAGTAACAGGACATGGAAATTGTGCAAATGACTATATGATAAACTGAAACTGTATTGTAATTAATGGATGCATGATGATTTAGTCGTCATGTAGTTAATTTGGATGAAAGCATTTTAATCTAACAGTGACCCAAGTTACTGCAGGCTACTTTATAAATACAGATACACGTGGCTGTACACAGCAGATGTGAGGAAAATAATGAGGAAATGAACGGAAAATGGACACGTCATGTAGGATTATGACTTTTTAATCCCTTAATATTACGACTTTATTCTCATAATATTATGACTTTATTTTCGTAATAATTTAAAAAATCTGTGTGGCCCTAATACTCCGTTGTAGATACTGGAGCTAAACCTGAATTATTAATGTTTATTTATTCACGTGAAGTTATTCTTCCAGTAAAAAGACGTGTAAATACATGTTCCGACGCATTTTAAGTCCGACACGAAACTGATCACTATGGTAACGGGGGAGCACGTGGTCACACAAACTCAGGTGAAGCCGACGTGAGGCGAAGTGTAGACCGTCTCATTTCAGAGCAGTTTTGAGCAGCCTACCTGGCCCAGCGAGGACATGGCCAATGTGGCCCAGCTGAGACACAGCCATTGAGACACAGCCAATAATTTATATATTAGCTCAGCGCAACACATTCTCCTCTCGTCACTGAGGTCCTCCATCCACATGACAAGAGAGGGGAACGCAAAAATGACTCGGCCTGCAACTGAAAATATGGATTGAGGACCTCAAATTAGCTTGTTTGTCACGCTAGCGCCGAGCTAATACATATAAGGCAGTGTCGGCACTAGCACAAAGGCTAACAGGCTAAACTGAGGTTCTTCTTCCATGAAGCAGCTCTGTTGTCCTCCATCCATTTTTTCAGTTACAGACTGAGCCATTTCTGCCTGCTCCTCTCTCAACACTCTCTGGTTTCATTTAAAGGGATCCCCGATTAGTTGTAACATTAGACTTTATTTGATAAACATTTATTTTAACTGTAAAATAAAGACTGTAAAAATACTGTAGGCTGTTTAGTTTTTATAATTTTTAAATTAAAAGTTTAAAAATATATTACATGGACGGGGCCATTTTATTTACACATAAAGCATTCTGGGTAAATGATAACGTGAATAGGTCATCGGTGCGAGGCTGCTAGCGAGCTATATCCACCCTGAAGGTAAATCTTAGGCAATATCTGACGACTGGCTCTTTTAAATGAAACCAGAGAGCGTTAACAGAGAGGAGAAGGTAGAAATGACTCAGTCTGTAACTGAAAATATGGATAAAGGACAACAGAGCTGCTTCATGGAAGAAGAACCTCAGCTTAGCCTGTTAGCTTTAGCATTAGCCCCAATGCTATCACCATATATATGTATTAGCTCAAAGCTACACATTTTCCTTTCGTCACTGAGGTCTTCCATCCACATGACAGAGAGGGGAACGCAAAAATGACTCAGAATGCAACTGAAAATATGGATGGAGGACCTCAGTTTAGCTTGTTTGTCGTGCTAGCACTGAGCTAATACAAAGAGCGTCAGCACTAGCGCAAAGGCTAGCAGGCTAAGCTGAGGTTCTTKTTCCATGAAGCAGCTCTGTTGTCCTCCATCCACATTTTCAGTTACAGGCTGAGTCGTTTCTGCCTTCTCCTCTCTGTCAACGCTCTCTGGTTTCATCTAAGAGTCGATCATCATATATTGTCCAAGATTAACTTTCAGGGTGGATATAGCTCGCTCACACCGATAACCTATCCACATCATTTACTCAGAATGCTTTGCATGTAAATAAAATGGCTCCGTCCGTGTTAAAATTTATTTTTAAAAATTTACAAAACTAAACAGCCTACAGTATTTTTACAGTCTTTATTTTACAGTTAAAACAGATGTTTATCAAATAAAGTCTAATGTTACAACTAATCAGGGATCCCTTTAAGACAAACAGACCCACACAGCACATATTCATCCACAGAATAAATAAATTTGTGACATTTGAAAATTGACTCAGTTTTCCGTGTACAAAGTGAGATTCATCTATAAATAGGTTGGAGAGCTGGGATTTATAGAGAAAGCTTTATAAGACCTTATGGTCACACACATCAAAATCACTACTTAATCCGGAAAAGAGAAACAGAGGAACACTCCCACCCTCAAAGCCAGGCCTGTTGGGCCAAAAAAGGCCCAAATCTCAAAGACTGACTATGTTTGTGACACTTCCATGTGAAATATTTGCAGCCTCTTGAGAGCTGGTGATATTTGGGAGAGGAAACAGAAAAAGAGGAGCAAGGTGTTGTGTTTGCCGCCCTAACAAAAGAGCAAAGGCTTGTCAGGAAAAATATAATTCATCCTCTTTTTCAGTGTTGAGTGTTACACAGTGTTGCATCTACAATTATATATAAAAAAGAAAAGTTTGTCAGATTAAAACAAGACAAAGGAAATATTTTTAGACCTAAATAGTTTAAAAATATGTAATCCTTTGCTACTCTACCTGCGTGTGCTTCAGGGTGAACTGTCGCGTCACATACGCCAAGTTGCACTCCTCCGAGTGACACTTCACCCTCAAGTCACCGTAGTCCTTTACTTCCGGCGGATGCGGCCAGTACTGGTGGCACTTGGTCTGCAAAGCGTGTAACATCATCGACATGTTGCGTTACTTCTGGTGTGAGTCATCGGTCAGAAAACAGTTTAAGTCAGAAAAAAACAGCAGCTGATCTCTGCTCTCAAGAAATCAAACTCATATTCAACAGCATGCTCTAATGTACAGGGCGGTCCGAATAACAAAAGCGAATCATCAGGAGCAGGATGTGGACTAAACGTCAACCTGTGTGTGTGTGTGTGTATGTGTGTGTGTGTGTGTTTGTGTGTGTATGTGTGTGTGTGTGTGTGTGTGTGTGGGCACGCTTTTGCTACATTATGGGAACCATATTCCAGAAAGAGGAAGCCTCGTGGGGACTGAATGCACATCTTAGGGACCAATGCCCAGTTCCCACGGGTATGGATGCGAAGTTCGGG